TTTTTTTTTTTTGGTTGGCTTTCATGATAAATGTGTATGTGGCTCAAGTGTATTCATCTTGGTGTTGTGTTTTTTACTTTTTTTTCAGAAAAATGTTGAGTTGATGCATGCTGTAATGCTGTGTGTTTGTCACTTAAATCTATGATGTGAAGTTTTTTATCGTACCATTTCTTGTAGTGAAATTCTGATTCGATTCATTGGTCAAATGAAGATTAAAAACGGACTGAAAAATAAATAATTAACAAAAATACAAAATCTATATAAACAAAAAAGTATGGAAAAATGCGGTGAGCGTGGATCGAACACGCGACCTTCAGATCTTCAGTCTGACGCTCTCCCAACTGAGCTATCCCCGCAGTTGTTTTGTTAGATTAATATTGCTTCAAAAATCCGACGCTGATGGAGGATTCTATAAAAAATATTTCCATCACTTTCATCCCTAATTTAATTCTAACGCAACACCAATTGGCAATCGGCGGCAGTGCGGATCGGTGAACTATGCTCGTCTAACGAAGGCGAGTCCAAGGCCTTCAACGTGAAGGGCGGAGAAAGGAATTTCGATATGTGGCGATTAGCGATGGCACGACGTGGCGAGGGTTTCACTAACCGAAGGTGGATGATGAGGCGGTGATTGGGCGACGAGTCGCGAATGGCAGTCGATTGACGTGTGATTTTTGGAAATTTCATATTCAACACCAAATCCGACGGCGAACAATGAAGCATACATTAGCGATCTAGTCATTACTAGTGTGATACCCGTGCGATACACGGGGTATACTGTAAATTAATATTTTATAATTCAAATATTGTTAATCTATTGAAGACAACATGGTAATTATATACGACTCAACATATCAAACTAGTAATTTTATAAATTTTGTTTGAATATCTTTTTTAACTAGTACAAATCCCGTGCGATGCACGGGTAAGAGATATTCACTAATATTTTCAAATAAAATGCTCATAAAATTATTTTTTTTTGGAATAGCAAATGCTCATAAAATTGTATTTATAAACTAAAAATATGGAATCAATAAGTAATACAAATTACCTATATTAATTTATTAAAAATATTATATAAAAATTAAATTATACAAAATAACGTAAAACACATCTATTAATCAACATGCAATTTTATGCAGTGCACATAAATGATAATAAATTACGTTAGATTCATTTGAAAATAAGAGTCATATTAAAATTTTTATTCATAAATTCGATTTGATTGCATGTGATTGTATAAAATAAATATTTTGGTAAAACTTTATCATATATATATTTAAAAATCTAAGTGAATAATATGTATAATTAAAAAACTCATATTATTTATTAACAAAAATCAATTTATTTTTCCCTAAATTATCCGAATAGAAAAATTTAAGCAGTTGAGTAATTTATTAAACTATAAATAATTAACTATTTTATTTACGTCCAAGTTAATATTGAACTGTAAGTTATGAATAATTACTCATTTGTCTTTTAAACTTGGAACCCAAATTTGGACTACACAATATATATATATATATATATATATATATATATATATATGGGAAAACCCGTGCGTCACGCCAGCTAAACATTTCAAATATGGATTTGTTAAAAATTAAGCAAATCGTTTATATTTTAAAAGAAAAAATAAATAAATTTTATCTATTCTTAGTATTCTTTTTTTTTTTAAATTGTCCCCTTTTATTCATCAAATGATCAAAATACTCAACTACTATTTTATTCTGAGACGTATTGATATATAATATATATTTGAATAATACATTATAT